ATTCAACTTGTATTATTTTATATAGTAAGACAAGGAGTCTATCTGAGCAATATATAAATTTCTTAAAGTGCCGCTGGTGAATCAATACATGTTTCTGGATAGTAGGGTTCACGTTCCAGTAGAGTTCCAGTCCAATTAACCATCAAATCCGGCCCGCAACTAGATTCCTAAGAAAATTGAAATAATAATTTAAGACACATATTAGACATTTAATAAGACACAACAGTCCTGCAGCACCTAAAGTATTGAAAGCAAGTGTGTTTTGTGGGTCAGCAGTAAAACATCATAAGATGCTAAATATGCGAGATAAAATATGCAAGAAAAAGTGTTTAAACTCATCCTAAAAGCATGCAGCTACGAAATATAAGTTAATTAATAGGTAACTTGTTATCTTTGTTGTCTCACCCTGAACTGCCCTCACCCTGAGAGTGGCTGGAAGCAGTATAGCACATGTATAATCATGGATTTCCTCCATTTCCTGACTTTTCACCAGAGGCGAGGACGAAGGAGACTGGTAACCTTGAAGAGAGTATTATGGCAGTTTGTTCCAATATGGGGCCAGAACAGTACTCTGGACAGTCAACCCGCACTGGGGTATTTGGACGACGAAGTAAATACAAGACAAAACAGCACAAAATTGTATGCGCTCTTCTTTTTAACTGACTAAAGTTCTGCAATAATATTACCTATTCTAACTACTATTCCTGAACTTGAAATTTAGGATGACATTTTTGACACACTATTTTTTAGGTTATCAGCTGAAGCCCTTGCTTTAACTACAGTCTCTTATATTGCATTTCATATTTGTTTACCACAAACATGACACCTTTAACTATGTAAATACTGGTAGAGCACTTGTGTGCTATGCTATGCTAGTGCGATGGCTCACAAACGTTGCGGGACCGAGTTTTGTGTCTAGGAGTCTTCATGTCTGTGAAACTACTGTTGCCATCACAACACGATAAACAATGTTAGGTTCTGTAAGGGTAATATTAGAACAAATGTATCCTAGTATTCTTGTCTGGGTTATACTACGACAGGAAAGTGACCAAAGCCTTCCGAACCAGACAGCAACAGACAAACCTGGACATTAGTATAAAAATACTTTGTAGCACAAGAAATACCACTTTTTGTCAACAAACTTTATCCAATTCCTTCTTCTGCCCATCAGAGTACTTTTTTCCCTAAAACTTTCCCGGACCATAAAACTGCTCAGGATGTTATATGATGTTGGCATGGAGTTGCCGAGCATTAAAGTTAAGGAAAGCTCAAGAAATGAATAGTTGTGTGATGGCAGAATGTTGAATTCCATGCTCATGTACTAGTAATAGAATAAGGGAAGAAAACAGATGGTTCTGTTTTTAGGGGTTAGAATAGAAATATTAGATATTATAAAGGGCAATAGCTTTTCTTCATTTTAACAAGATTTCCATCTTTTTGGAGAAACCATCTGCCAACAATGGCAGAAGGTGAAACATGCCAATGTACTTTTCAACATATTTTTCAACATATTTCAACGTATTTCTTCTAGGGATGGCTAGATCTGATACTCAGGATTGGTATCCGCCTCATGTAAGTCACAATCTCAGGATCCTATCTGATCCGATGCCCAAATGTTCAACTTAACTTTACGCAACATGCCGTAAAAAGGGACACTATCTGAAGGAGACCTTAGCGTATACATCCTTCAGTTTAAGATGGATTTATTTCAGCTTTCAACGCAGTGTTTTCTTCAGATACTGTAAAGGATGAAGACAATTGTTTTTTTGGTTCTGCAGAAAATGTCAGTAATGTTTAATTACGGATTAAGAAACTTCTGGGAATACAAATATACAAGTCTCCAAGCTCTGTATAAAGGGTTTCCATTTTGTAATTTGAGTAGCGGCAGCCTACTACAACAATGTCCGAAAGAAATGGGGCAGATAAACATAAATAGACCACCAGCTACCCTGAATATTAAACATCCACACCCATTGGGCGGCACTTGATTTATCAGCATATCTGATGTCATAATAACCCATAGGTAACCCATTGTGATTCTATAGTGTAGCAGTTAGCATGCCTGCCTCAGAAGCAGAGAGAAGGAAGTCCTGGGTTTGATTCCCAAAGGAACTACATACTTGGTGCCTGTTGCAGCAGATCTGCTGTCAACACAAGAATTTTGCAAGTACGGGATCAATGTTGAGTTCAAAGTTGAATTTTTTTTTTTTAGTTGCTCGTCAGCTATCTCTCCTGAGGCCAGCATCATAACTGACTGCTTACGTCACTGCAGAAAGACCTGACTCCACTGCTTAAAGGAATCCAAGAGAAAAAACCTGGTACAATATTAAACCAATGAATGACTCAACAATGTTGACCTTTTCTGAAAAGTCACTATGTTCTTTTTCAAAGCTCACAATCAAGCAACAAACATTTGGGCATTAAGGGTTCGGATCAGGTCGATAATGAATTTGGGGGCTGGGATCAGTCCCTCTTATTTCCCGCTGAGTAATCTGGCTGTGGAAAAAGAACGGGTAATCTGGATTGCCAGAGATAGAGAAACAGAGAGAGTAGAGAAGGATGGATTCTGTAAATGTCCACCCATAGGCATAATTTAATTTATTTTATCAGCATTTGTGTACCTTCATGTACGTTTCTTTTGCTACACTGTATGCCACAACAAATTCCTCGCAGGTGAAAACCTAGCTGGCTATAAAATCGTTTCTGATTCTGATTCTGAAAGGTATAATTCTTTGCCAGTGACTGCATCAATGACGATCCCGAAAGAGGTTAAAAAAAATGCCTAAGAAGCACGGATTTGCTTTCGAAAGAGTTTCAGTGAAATCCTCATTCAACAACACCATTCAGCTGACAAACCGGCAGAGTGCTTTATTGATTTCCCAGTTAATGAGACTTGGTGCTGGATGACGGCCCTATGAACATTTAGAATCCCATTATTATAAAACTTTTTTTATATATTGTCCTGACCAAAACAACCACATTGGGATGATGTGGCAAAATATTATTTTTATGTCATAATATTGTCAAGGATTTGGGTTTGTTCCAAAGTAATACAGGGTTTTCATTTTGTCTTCCACAGCTTAATCTTAGGGGGCAGGAGCCAAACCCAATATCCCAGATGGAGCACATTTTTTCCAGATAATGGACTGAGTTTTGATAAACATGGTGACAAAGATGGCACTGAATTTGTTGACAACATTATTTGATTTTGAATTATTTGGGTATTTTAATTACATCCACCAAGGTCTCTATTCATTAGTGTTTATACCACATGTTAAAATCAAGGCATGGAGTAAAAAAAAAAAAATCAACATTTACTTGTGTTCACAAGATGGGTTAAATGAAGTGGTCACAACCGTCCATATGCATCGAAAGCCATTTACAACACATAATATAATCAGATTATGGTTATGATAAATGGATGAGGATGGGGATTGTCTCTAAATAAGGCACATTGACATTTAAAAAAAAAAAGATTTTACTCAGAAAAAGGTCATTTCACGAGACCGTTCAAAAAATGCTAATCCTGTTTGGCCCGCAACCTAGAGTTAGTTCTAAATTTCCGCCCCTTGAGAGATTGAATTTGATGCCCCTGATTTACAGGCTTGGTTGGTTAGTCATGAAAACTTAAAAATGACCGTGGTGTACTGCAGTACAATCTAAATTCGACTGGAAACTCTATACCTTGGGCCTGTTTAATCAGAAATCAATTCTTAATGGTATATAAAATCTATCAATTTCCATTTGTCAAGGTAAACATTTTTGCAAACGTCAAGACTGAAAACTATACGTTCCTATACTACAACTATGCGTTTAAAAGTTGCGTAATGTTCTCCAGGTCTACCTCTGCCCACGTTTTGGCCAAGTAGATAAAAGGTGATCAATGACAGGGGCTGTCTCTGAGAATGAATGGTGTGTAAACTGGCAATGATTAAACAAAAGACAGTGGGAAAATATCTGTGTTTCTGAGGCTTATCTCGCATCTCTCGCAGTATTGGATGGTGAAATGTTAGTGGGCCGTGTAGTGACAGTGTATATGGTTACCATGGTTACTGAGTGTCACTCCTTTTTAGCCGTGTGCTAAATGATTAGCAGCTTTTGCATCCATAGGACCCTGAAAGACCACTGTCAGATTCAATCCCGAGACACAAGAAACTCATACAAGGGCAGAAAAGAACTGACTGAATGAAAAGACAACAGAAACCGACAACAGGAGTCAAACACAGGTTGTGGCAGGGCCACACAAAGAGACAAATGAGACACAGACAAGACACAAACGCCGACAAGAAAACACTCGGACAGATAAGAGGGTCAGAAGACAAAGCACAATCTTATAGTCACATAGTTACAGATAAGATCGCATGCAAACACAGAGATGGCCCAAAGACCGGTAGACTGACTATTAAATATACAGAAAGACACAGGTCATATGTACGTGGAAATACAGACGATGTCATGTGCAGAGAGACTCTGACGATATGGGCAGACCGAGACAAAATGAGTCAGTCAGTCAGTTTATAACAACTTTCCTTTTGCCCGCTGTGACAGCGCCACTCCGTGCTGCATTAGCCAACATGATATGGAACAGTCCCTAACACGTTAGGGAATAGTCATGTTGGGTTACACGTGAAACTAACCACCTTAAAAGCAAAACAATCTATGGTAAAGGCTACCAAGCGTCCAAATGAGCCGCGAAAAAAAATCCAAAACCACAACAGTCGGCGCTACAGTGAACAAAAAAAGGGCGTGTATGTATTATGCACGCTCAGCAAATAGCATGCACAAATACCGACTTTCCGAGGAGCACATGAAGGCAGCATCACTGTACACCAGTACAGCCTGGCCGTGATGCGTGCTGAGCTTACTCATCCAAAATCAGCGTCAACTCACTGCTACACGGCCTACAGCCGCCCAACCTTTCTCCACGCACCCAAGACACACAGCTCACATCGCTATGTACAGCCACTAACACACGGTAGGCATATTTCGGCTTGACTCACCGTTAAATGTGTACTTTTCGACAGTTTGTCGTGAGTCTCCAAGAGTCGCTGTCACCGCCACGATCCGCCCACCCAACAGTGCGAGCTTCGGTGCAGAGTAACAGCTCCACCTCTGTTTCGCTGTACTCCAATCACAAACGACTATTGTTGAATGGCGGCTTTTTTATCCAATCGTATTAAAGTTAAGGTCTGACTGACAGGAAATGTGACTACAGACAGTTTTGAACTCCTGCGCAGGCCATTCGGCGTCACTGTGTGCGCTTTTGACAGGCATCCCGCACGTACAATGGAGAACATTTGACTCCTTTTACGGATCGGTGCCGGTCCAATCGCCTGTAGCGACGCACAGCGTACACGTTGAAGGCCCAAGAAGACGCCCTGATTCCGCCCGGATCACTAAAATGTCACTGCGATGACAGGTGTTACGGTAAAAAGACACAGACTTGAGCTACAGTCAGGTCTACATTCACCTGTTTCACACATAAAGCAGATAAAGAATACACACTTGTGCTATTTGCCTCTAATCAATTACACAATAAATAAAGCCGCCAAATTATAAAATTAATGAATTAATTGACAATAATAAGATGCATTTACATTATTTTTTAAAAGGCATCAAATATTAAATTGAGCTGAATTTTCTGTTAGTAGCGACATCTTGTGGCCGAAAAGAACAGGTACAACCATCATAAACAGCCCAGACTTTTTTGTGTGTTCACCTTAAGGCACATCTGTTGGGCGTCTTAACCTTTTTGTGTGTGTTTGTGTGTTCATGTTAAGGCACATCTGTTGGGCGTCTTAAACAAATGTTATCATTGTAGTTTCGCGTGAATACAACTGTGTAAGTCTAATATTTGTAATTTTTTATACGTTTTGTAACAAGTTCTGGTCTATAAGATGGGGGGGGTCGTCTTGCATCATGTTTCTCAGGAGTTTACGAATAACTAATAAGTTTGTGAAACACTGTATTAATGAACCACTCTCTCAAATGTTTTTCAGTAGATAGCTAGCTAGCCAGATAGATAGCCTGACTTTGACTTCTTCCCTTTCCCCCCCTTTTTCTTCCTTCTTAACCCTCGTAGCAGTCTAATAATCAGTCTAATATATATATATATATTATAAATAGATAGATAGATACTGCATATATAGATAGATAGATAGATAGATAGATAGATAGATAGATAGATAGATAGATAGATAGATAGATAGATAGATAGATAGATAGATAGATAGATAGATACTGCATATACTGCATATATATAACAGGTACTATACATATCGTATATCATAAAACATTGTATGTGTAAATGTTGAGTAACTGTGTAAATAATACTTATGTCCTGATAATGACCATCACATGAATGATGACGAGACAGGGGGAGAGGGAGGGTTGCTTTCAAAGAGATTTATTGAAAGAAATATTTTTGAAATTTTATAAAGTTCAACCGTTAATAATATCAAGCAATCAAAACCTTAAGCTTCACCATTTTTCCCCATCTACCTTGCTTTAACATTTGATATGAATATATGAATTCTAAGCTTCTAAAAGAACCCCGCGTTGACAAGCCAAAGTGTCATCGTATCAGGGCCAACTTCATGTTTCAGGAGCCGACATAGACTTCACATTATTGTGGAAGATTTGTCATCGTCACTGCGTCTGTGAGAGGCTTCCAGCGGATGTGACACAACTCTGAATTTTCACTTGGGCGTGTTGGAAGATACTTGCAAAGAAACGTCACCGATCCATGTGCGGAAAAGTAGGAAGTGGTCCGAGAAGTGTCCTTAGAAACGTCGACACTAATCAGTCTCTAAAGTGCTGCTCATCCCAGTGAAAAATTTGTAATATTTTGGGTGCACAGGACGGCAATAAAAATGGCCACATGGAAAAGGCCGAAATAAGGTATTTAGGAAATAGTTCAAAGTTCTGCCCAGGACTGTCACACATGCATCGGTCCATTACAGTGGTTCTCAACCAGACATACAAATATTCCGTTTATTATTGTATCTCTATAATTACTATCCGCAGCTAATCAGTACATCTCTCTTCCATGACCAGGAAGTAAAAATACTGTTTATATGTATATATATATATATATATATATATTTATATATAAATATGACTCTCCCTTAACCCGGAAGAATTCAGTGTTTCACTCTACACACAGTTTGCAAGCATACAGCAAAAAACCAGCTGCTTTGCACGTCAAATCCCCTCGTTACCGGATGATTTTCAGTGCAGCATGCAAGTAAAAAAATGTGCACAAAAGTATTTAAGCTCATCACCTGCGATCATCCGTGCCGCACCGTTCTCATCATCACCTCCTTTCTCCACCAGGGACAGTCTTTTTTTTTGTTTGTTCCCCACCCCCGCCACCCCCAATAAGATGATTATTTTAATAAGAAATTATAGCAGACTTTATTTATTCGGTATATATATATATTTTTTATCCTCTATATTAGTATTCTGCATTTCAAAGCATGCTAACAAAAAGTTGTTGTTTTTTTTTCTTCTTTAGTTTCTGCATAGTGCTGGCTATACGAGTGCCAAAGAGTTCTGTTTCTTTACAAGTAGTAGAAGTGGGTATGTACAGGCAAAGAGTGACACCGGTTCCGTGTTGTGTAAATGGTACCAAAAAACAACCCCCACCCCACCCCGCCCTCCGCTATCTACAAGTACAGGACCTGCCGAGAGTCCGTCAGAAACTCATAGAAAGTTAAAGAGAGCTGGAAAAAGCTCAGCAGTATGGAAGAGCCATTAAGGGGTATCAAGTGTGTGCACGTGTCAATATTCAAAGGGCAAAAATACCAACACCTATTCCCCAAGTTTTTTTTTTCTTTTTCAAAGTGCCACTTCTACTGTTATTTTATGCACTGTGCATTACATATTGTATTCTCTAGCACTGGATATTACGCTAAGGTGAACTGTCACATATGGGGATAGAAAAAACCAGGAGTCGACAATAACTACATTCTAGTCTTGAGGTCATAGTTCTGAATGTAAAAGGACACAGTTCAGGCCACGAGTCGACTCACTGAACATGAACAAAAGCACTCACTATACAATAGGAAACGGCCAAAGAGAGACAGAACACGTTTGAGAAATCAGTATCTCAGCACAGCAACTTAAAAAAAACAAAAAAAAAAAACAAAAACACAAAGAGGGAAAATTTCACTGTCCTGTTCAGTGTTTGTACAGAGCCTAACTCCTGGTAACAAGTGTCTGCTGGTGAAAAACATGCAAGGGCAAAAGAAAAAACAAATCAAACCAAGTAGACATCGGCGAGCGATGTAACAAGAAGAACCGCCAATTCTGTAAAAGTGGCAAAAAAAAAAAAAAAAAAAATTCCAATGTTCTGTTCGAACCTTCATCTGCTACACAATAACTGTCTGGTTTGAACCCCCTCGAAATAACCCTCACATTACGTGAAAGTCGCTGTAAAATATGGTTAAAGTTTAAAAATCACAGATATTAAAGCTGCAAGTACAACTTTAGGCTAACATCGTTTTCTTTTTTTTTTTTTTACCCAAAGAGTTAAATCGTCCAGGGATTTAAAACGTCACCAATGGCCATTTGTTACAGCATTTGTTTGCTTTGGTTCGATACTAAAGTGCACCTTTTACAAAGCGTGACGTCGGCAACAAAGTTCAGGTTCCGCACGGGGCAGACGCGGCGGCGATGACGCGGCCTTCGCCCCCCTCGGTTGCGGCCACGCGTGCGGCATCTGGGGTTTGATGGGTTTGAACAGACTTCCATTTTAATCAGTGGGGATAGAAATCGAACACACACCCCCATGTATCGTGTACAGTCACAGACATAAAAAAAAACACAACAACAACAATAACAACAACAACAACAAAAGAAAACGTTGGACACCCTAAAGGGGATAGGGTCAAAATGAACACAGGACAATTACACACAGCAAAACCTTAATCCACCGAATGCGCTCATCGCCAACCTTTGACACCACAATTCTTCAAATTCGACAACAACAACAATCCACAAAGACGTAAATAAATAAACATTTTGCTCAGACCAGCAAGCAGCAGCGTACGACCCTCATGCATCGAAGGGGGAGGATTGCCACCAAAATGGACATTTTCAGACCTTGCTCTTCTTTCTCAGCGGTTGGGTATGATTTCTGAGAACAAGGAAAAACGAACCCCAATGACATCAGTAACACGTTCCTGAGTCTTTATTAAACATCTGCACTGTTTAAAAAATTGCTAAAAGTGCTGAGCATCAAGCGGCGTGGTTAGGCTGCTACGAGTCTTCATTGTTTAAAGGACTATTGCACTTTAACGTTACCCTCCTCTGTCGTTGGTCATCTTTGCGTGGTGAACGGCTAATGGAAGTGAAGATCTACTCTGGTAGACGTACACTGGTCAGTCCAACTTCTGTCGGCACCGACTGGTGCCTGTTCCGTTTTTCATCATCTCAATGTCTGATGAGTTCAAGTCAAAGGGATCCTTTAAACCAGGTAAAGATAATTGTCATCTGATATCAGCTACTCTCACAAGCTTAATGTGTGTCGGTTGTGCAATTTTTACTTAAGTATTTACTTATAGTAAGAAGGGATGGCTCGATCCGGTTACCAGGATCAGTATCTGTCCGTTATTGGTCAAAATTTCAAGATCGAACATAAAAAAAAAACAAAACAAAAACATCCACAAGGGGTCCTCGGTTTACGATGTCCTCGAGCTATGGGGGTTCGTGGTAATGTGGTCTTTTTCTAACCGTTTTGTTCCATCCTTCCGACGTATGATGTTAAAACTCCCCAACAAGTTCACGCGGGAACGAGAATACACCGTCACACGGAAACGTTTTGCCCTTCGTTATGGCTCCGAGGTGTAAGTCGGACTCTTCTGAAGTTTCTATGTCCCACATTATGATGTTAG